ATTTTTAAAAGAAACAGTATTGTCTAGGACTGGCCCAATATTAGCAAATGTAAACATTTGATATAAATAGCTGAACAGAGAAATGTCCATAAGCATAGAGGAAATTTCAGTCATTGATTTACATGGATTTAGTACATAATTCGTATTCGGTAATTATAGTAAGATTTAGCCTTTTTGTTGGTCTCTATTAATCATTATATTGTGCCAACATACTATAATCTATATCACAAATTTACAGTGTCAGATGCGCACAGACAGTCATTGGCGTCATACGAACAGACATAAATTTTCGAGTTTTCTACTTCTACTAACATTTTTAAAGTTTTCATTGTGAATCACCTGTTTATCTCTAATTCATTAATCATTTGCTACTTTTAATATATTTATTTGATAGTGCCATATAGTGAATAATGCGTTTGCACACAAGCAATCCTGGATATGATATAGACGATGCAAGCTGTCCATTAAAAAATAACGGTATTCTATTTCACAAAGCAAAAATTTAAATCTCACTTGTATTATTAAGAATGCATATAAGCAAAAAATAAAAGCTTATTCATGTCAAATAAACGAAAGCTGTTTACAAAATTTATAAAGGTGGTGAACACTACTAAACAGTGCTCATATTTGAAAGACATGTATAATATATAGTGACATATAATTTGTCGTTTGACTTATCTTTGGTGTATGATTTTAATTTTAATACCGTAGATTTTCAACAGACAGCTATACTTTGACATATACCACGTCCATGATCGTTGGTTTCAGCAATGCAAAGGGCTTTAAGTTTTTTTTGATAAGGTCTTTATATAGATCAACAATCTGGATACAGTTGGCGATATTTCGGAAATCAAAAGATCTCGCTATTTCGTTGCAATTCCACATCTCATCAACAAATAAATTCTTTTGGTCCGAGTATCAGGATAGACTTTAATACTAAATAAATAACAACCACACTGTTCGGTCTGGAGATACATATTTTCCTGTAGGTTTAATATTGCCACGCTGCACAAGCGGCAAGCCGCCGCAAGCGTGATTTCTTTGGCAAGTCTATATTAAATGAAATCTGATCCAACTTGCTTGAATTGTAACTCGACACCAGATTATAGAGTAGAACGTCACGATATAAATATTAATTTAAGAGTTCTCTTTACGATTTCTTGTTGAAAATTTACAGTACATTTCATCACCCACAGTTGCAATTTTAAAACGCTACAAACACGCTCCTTTCCCACCCCTCTCACAGTTACAATTAAATTTACCTCCCAGAATCTGGGAGGCACGTGACCAGCCGCAGCCAGGGTCTCTCCCAGATGACAGACGGAGAGACCCTGGGAACGAGGTTGGTTACAAGGTTGTTCCAACAAGTCCAATACAGTCATGATATAACAATATTGTTACAACCTTGTGGGGTCACCCTTGTAACATTCTTATCAGTTATAGACCTGAAACGAGGGGTATTCCACAAAAAATTACCCTGAGGGATGAAATATTCCGAGGGCGAAGCCCGAGGAATATTTCATCCCGCAGGGTAATTTTTGGTGGAATACCCCGAGTGAAAGGCCTATAAATGGTATATTATACCGAACCTTTGAAAAATAAGTAGAAAACAAATACCATTCAATTAACTTTTAATTTCAAAACACAACTTTTGATAACTTTACATTTAAAAAAGTCGAATTTCCCGCTCAAGCGTGGTATTCGAAGTCGAATACCATGGCCCCGGGTAAAACACCCAGGGTTCAAATTGCCTAGGTCATAGTATTCGATGAAAAATACCATGGTCATGTGGTACAAATTTAGTTCTCTGATTGGACAAGCTCATTGTGAGGTATAATATATATATATATATATATATATATATATATATATATATATATATATATATATATATATATATATATATATATATATATATATATATATTTAACAGTCATTCTACGAACTCGAGTCGAATATGAGCTGATAACCGATGAGGCGCGTAGCGCCGAATCGGCTATCGCTCATATTCGACGAGAGTGAGTGGAATAACTGTTTTATTATATACACAAGGTCTGAATTCACAGACTTTGCTTTTCGGATATTTTCGATATTTTTATCTTCGCTCTTTCGGCCGATTATTTTTTCGAAAATATATATTTTTAACCATTTTAAATTTTAAAAATTTATTTGCTAACCTGAAAACAATTTGTGGGAGTTTTTTTCATTGTGTTTTTAATCCTGTAAAGGCTATAAAAAGCGACAACTTGCCGTAAATTCAGTTTGGCCGCCATTTTGTTTTTCTCTACTAGCAGGATATGAGCTAATATCCTGCTAGTAGAGAACCAATCAGATTGCAGAATACCTCATATCCAGACCTTGTGTATATAATAAATATATAAATATATATATATATATATATATATATATATGTATATATATGTATGTATATATATATATATATATATATATATATATATATATATATATATATATATATATATATATATATATATATATATATATATATATATATATATATATATATATATATAATTAATGCCTAGGTCTCAGTTTGTGTATTTAGCGAAAATAAAAAAAAAATCATAAAAAAATAAGTATGGCCTTGATTATTACCTTTCAAGTTTTATATGATTTATCGAAGGAGATTCTAAAAGTTGACCTACTTTTCGTTGCCATGGCAACGATGACGTGATGTATATTTCGAAAAACAACACAAAAAATTATACTTTTTATTCTGAGACTCTGCAGCAGTATATTTCGTGACTGAGAGGACGCAGAATTGCAATAATCATTCACACATAGTATCACTGTTTATTGAATAAATTTGGAAAGTTTACATTTAGGCTTCGTTTTATTATTTTATGCGGCTATATTACGATGATCGGCATCAAACGAATGTTAATCGCGTCATTAAATGTTATCCACAAATAAATGTACGGTTTCCAAATTAACGCAGGAAACTTTGTTCCCTTGTTAATGTTTTTAGCTAACAAACATAGCAAAATTTCGTCAAATTACCCTGCTGCAAGTCGAACGCGTTTTTCGCGTGATGAATTTCACGCGCCATAATGAAACAGTCTGCCGCTTATTGTAAGGGATATTATCTTTCAAGCCGATATCATTCAAGCCGATATCTTGAAGCATAGCTAATGCTTGAAGGGAAGTATGCCATGGTGGAAATTCAAAAGACCGAGTGAACTATATGTGCTATTAATTTGTAATTCACAAGCTATTTTTCATTGAAAATAAGAAACAGTCAACAATTAATACTGACTGAATAATCGCAAGATAGCGCACTATAAGAACTAAGAAGCTTTTATTTATCAGCAGTTCAAAGGTCAGCTGTCGCAAATGATACAATACTTAGGGGCGGACCATTTGATTTTTGAGGTGGAAGTGGAAGATTCAGTCTGTGCAAGAATTTTTTTGTCCGCCCAGGCGAACGAAACAGATATTTTTTTCCTGTAAAAGTGCAGCGCAAGATATTTTTTTCCCAATATATTTGGCCGCAGGATATTAACGGCTTACAGTAACTTTAGGCTTTCATATAGCTATCATCGGAGACGTAGCAGGGGTTTTCAGTCAGAGGAGGCCGAGAACTGAATCCCAAGAGGGGCCAAGGAATTTTCACTGTGCTTTATTTTATATATGGTTATGTCTAAATGTTCCCCACACTAAAGCGTGCAAGTTTACTTACAAAGAATGTATACCTGCACCAAAACCTAAAACATGCAGGGATAGAGTAGAGTACTCGAAAATGGGGGAGGGTACAGTATATGAATGACCTGTGACCTTGGGGGGTTCGGGGGCATGCTCCCCCGAGAAAATTTTAAAATTTGAACCTCGGAAATGCTATTTCCTGCGTTTTCAGCCATGGATAATTATCTTAAGCCCAGATTTTGTCAGGAGGGGGCAACAATTTTGCCAGGGAACACCACTGGCTATCGTATGTCAGAGGCTCCAAAGGCAGTAGAATCCCTGTGATGTTATCCACTGTTCACCCCGTGTTCTTTTAAGCAAATGTGCCTGCTCAAAAATGCAAAATCGTGCAAGCCTGTGGACACAATACTGAAGTGAAGAGCATCAGTAGAGTTACATGTAGAAAATTTTTTTTTGAGCGCTCTCTTTTGCATGATATTTTTTTTTCTCGATTGTGTGCTGCATGATTTTTTTTTCTTTCTCCTTGGGTTGCAGGAAATGTTTTTTCGAAATCTTCCACCCCCCCCCTCAAAAGTCAAATGGTCCGCCCCTTATTGCTATACAAAGAGCCAATAGACAATTCCCATTATAGACTAATTTTAAAACTAGGCAAGGAGATCACCACAGCTAGAAAGAGCATACTAAAATTAGTAAAATTACAAAATTTGGTTGCGAAATGTTGTAAAATGTGGAAAATATAGCCTTGCAAAGTTTGCAAATTTTGTATACTTTTGTATTATTATTAATAAGCTTTATTTGCATGACCTAATTACAGGTATTGCTAAGCGTAATGGAAAATATATAAAAGTTAACTAGTATAAAAACTACTTTAACTAACGGAAAACAATATACTGCTATTTACATGTATAATATACCAAATAGGAAGGATATATGATAGAACAAATATCAAAATTTAAGAAAGGATTAGAAAGAGTGAATATAAAAAAAGGGAAAGGAAAGTTAGATAATATATAGAAACTTGTGACTTCTGGTTTAAGGGCTGTTGTCTCTGATATAAAAACATTTCGAAATATGTTCCGAAAATAGACCTGTTATCACAGGGTCATTCAATGACATAAGATCACTTAATAATTTTCTCTTTAATTTATCAGTGATGCTCATTTGGAAATAGTTGTTTAGGATGTTGCGCGAGTTATTTCGCAAATTTTGGTATTTTTCACATTCAAATGAGAAATGAAATTCGTCTTCAACTGCAAGTTTATCGCAGTATTTACACAGTCTCTCCTGTCGAGGTACATCGCTATAACGACCGAACTCGATTTCTAGTTTATGATTACTTATACGAAATTTTGAGAACAGTCTTCTTTGGTTAGGGTCTTTAATGATATTTAGATATTCTTCTAAGTTATAGTGTTTTTTAAATGTAGAATAAAATGACAATTTACTAGAGTTTTTAATTTGACGTTTCCAAAATGATGTGTAGTTATCTTTAATGGTTTTTACAAAATCGTTTATGTTTGTATCCTGAACAAATTTTTCAATGTCTATTGTATCTTCGATATTGGGATGAAACTTTTTAATAATGCTTGCAGCATTAGAATAGAATGAATCTTTACCGTTTGAGTAAAGTCTTTTTGATAGGTAAAAAGTTTGTTTCGCTATACTTGTATCTGGTAATTGACTAAGGTGGTTAATGTAAGAAAATAATCTTTTGAATATGGGTATTAATAGAGGGAATTTACCTAATTCACTCCTACTAGCGATATTGCTCGCTTTTCTGTTCACACCTAAATAGAGTTTGCAAAATTTCAGATGTGTTTTCTCAGTACTAGTTTTGTCCCATTTAGTAAAATCGTTGTTACCATAGGCTCCCCAAACCTCAGAATTATAAAGCAAGATTGGAGAGACTATGCCATCAAAGATTTTTATGGCAAGTTTTGGTGTAAGTTTCTGAAAATCAAGATTTTTCCGTATTTTAAATAATGCATGCATAGCCTTTTCACTCAGTTGTTGAGTCGCAACTGAAAATTTAGTGTTAGGAGTTAGTTTTAGACCGAGATAAGTGTATTCGTTTGTAATATCAATACGTTTATCTCCCAAGAAAAAGTCGAGTGATTGTAGTTTAGAGTTATGTTTTTGTAGAATCATAACTTTAGTTTTTTTCAAATTAATATTCATTACCCATTTTTTGCTCCATTCATTGAGGGAGTCTAAACAGTTTTGGAGACCGGATTTTGATCTTGATAGTATGACAAGATCATCCGCATATAGTAGACTACTTAGTCTCGTTCCATTTGGTAAAAGAAATGGGTCTGGATTTACTTTTTCAAATAGATTAGGAAGTTCGTTTATATATACATTAAAGAGAAGGGGGCTTAAAACACAACCTTGGCGTACACCTCTATTGTATGAGAAGAAGGGTGTTCTATGACCCGATACTTTCACTGCACATCGAGTATTGGAGTACAAATCCTTTATCAGATCATAGAAGCATCCTCCGATTCCATTTTCTAATAGTTTCAAATAAAGACCTTCATGCCAGACAGAATCAAAGGCTTTTTTAAAATCAATAAAGCATGTGTAAATTTTCTCATTATTTTGATTAACGTATTTATCATGCAACGTTTTTAAGGTAAAAATATGATCGGCCGTTCTGTTATTTGGTAGGAAACCAATTTGAGAAGGGTGTAATAATTCTTTAGTTTTTGAAAAGTTCATCAGTCTTTCATTGAGAACAGAGCAGAAGAACTTTCCTAACGAGCTTGATACACATATTCCTCGGTAATTACTTGGGTCTAATTTGTTCCCTGATTTAAAAATTGGTGAAATAAGTCCTTCACACCATGAAGTTGGGAACTTTCCGGATTTCATTATTGTGTTGAATACTTTTATAAAACCATTGGCAAGGATATCAACACTATATTTTATCATTTCGTTGTTGATTTTATCTGAGTGTGCAGCTTTTTTAGATTTTATTTTCTTAGCTGTTTTTATTATTTCTTCAGTTGTTATTTCCATATCAAGTTCATTGAGGAGATTTTTCGAGTTTTCTTTTTGTTTCAATTTTCCGATAATTTTTTCTTGTTCTTCACTAAGATGGTGATCACGATGTAATTGTTCAAAATGTGAGTACCATTCATAATTTTTTGGTAAGTTTTCAGAATTAGTTTCGGTATTAAGGTCGTCTGTCAAGTTCTTTAGTGTTTTCCAGAAAAGGTTAAAATCATTTTGACTAGCTGTTTCTAATTCATTCATCTTTTTGTTGTGAAATTCATTTTGTTTCAGCTGTAGAGTTGCCTTATATGATTTCAAGGCATCATGGAATTTTTTTCTAAGTTCAGCATTGGTAGGATCTCTATGTTTTAAATTAGATAATTTCCTTAAGTCATGTCGTTTGATTCTACAGTCTTTATCAAACCATTTCTTTTGGGCAACGTTAGTGATTTTTCTTCTTCTTTTGCTCTTTTTTATTTTCAAACTTTTTTTTGATGTTTCAAGTAAGATGTTTTGGAATTCGGTTACACATTGGTTTGTTCCGTTCAAATCAGTGGTGAAATCTGAGTTCATAAATTCATTCAATTTCTTTTGTATTTCTTGTGATCTTAATGATTCTCTAAAGTTATTTTTAGAGTGGTCATCCCAAATGTATTGGTTTGGAAGTTTAGTCATTTGAATATTACATCGAGGATTGGTATCTGATTTTTCGTTTGTCTGACCGAAACCAACCCATGTAATAATTTGACAATGGTCAGATAGGTATGTTGGTGGTTTTACAACAAAATAATTAGTATTTCTAAATAATTCTTGATCACATATGATGTAATCAACTACACTTATAATAATAATAACATTTAATATCCATCTTTGGTTAAAAAAGTACAATGGATTTACAAGAAGTGCTAAGATTAAAATTGATAAGAAGAAATTTTACTATTATTTACATCAATGTTGCTAAAAATGTTTATACTAGTTATATATTCTATAAAATTAATTTAGGACTGTTTTAAAAGGGATATAGCTCTAGGTATAAAGGATTGCCGGTGTCTTTTAGTATACGATACAACATATGGTAGATTATTTGTTGTTCTTAGATCGTGTTCATGGGTAAAAGGTTGGGGATAAGTTTATTACATGGGTTGGTCGGATCACTTAGAATTCTTTGGTATTCCTTAACAGTTAGGTGTGCCCTTCTTTGTTCTAGCGTTTCAAAGTTGCACCGAGATGTGCCAAGGATTTTGATGCATCTGTTTTGAATGCTCTCTATTTCATCAATGAGATATTGTGGTAAACCACCCCATGTCGGAGCTGCATATTCTAAAACAGGTCTAATCTTGGATTCATAACATGTAATACCGACCTCAGGAGGAAGATTCGCCCTACGGCATTCTCTCAGACTAAACATTCGTTTATTTGCTTTCTTTACAATGTTCTTCACATGACAGTTCCATTTCAAATTGTTTTGATGCCAGACACCCAACAGTTTATGAGAATTTACTCTTTCCACTACCTCGTTTCCAATGACCAATGGTTCTGGTGCCGATATTGCTGTGTTAAAACATATCCACATATCTTTTGTTTTCTTCGAATTTATCGTCATTTTGTTCCTATTAGACCATTCTTGTACTGCTTCAAGGGCTTCCTGCATATGGCTGGATGAACCTTGTGACACCACTTCGTCC